ATGATTTAGTCCTCGTTGCTGACAGTTATGACGTAGCAACTGCAGCGAGAATCAATGTAAATAAAACTAAAGCCTTTTCGTTTTATGCTCAAGAAGAATAAAATGCCTCTTTTTATAAATATATTACCAATCGAGGAAGTGCCCGAATACCTTGGGTCCACTCTAATACCAATGGCCAAGCAAAAGACGATATTATAACCAGGATCACGGCAGCTAGAAATGCGTTCTTCTGATTGACGAAAACCTTTATGGAGCCGTTGCGAAATCACAATAAAAATGAAAATCTGCATCTATATTTTGCGATTTGTTCGATCTTGCTATATTGCTGGGAGAGATAGCCAATGAGAGGGGAAAATATCAAGTAGATATTTGCCTTTGACCACTTTTATCTAAGCTACATTTTAAGGATCCGTCGAGCGGAAATTGCACATGATTGTATCCTTCGCTCAAATATCACCTGTATTAACAATGTTATCACAGATCGTCGTCTTCGCTGGTTAGGGCATGTTCTCCGTTGTCCACCGCAGGAGTTGACGCATATTTCGTTACTTGTTAAGCCGTTTGATGGGTGGTGCCAAAAGCGAGCTGGGCCAATCAAGACCTGGATTGATACGGTCAGAAAAGATTTTGAACGTATAGATGAACCAGCAATATATGGACTTAGACGATGGAAAAAGGAATGGCTTCTATTACTGTCGACGATGGCATCAGATCACTCCCTTTGGAAACGTTTTACCCTTGTAGCCCCTGGAGCTAGCTTAGCCAATAGCGGTGAAAGTCGGTCTTCGCATTTTGCACATTAAAAAAGAATCTCCTTATCTATATTTATATTTCTATTAGAAATATTTATCATATTATCAAAAATATTTGCTTGATATGAACTTTTTGCAAACTTATCACATTATCAGTTTATCATATTATTATATCATCTAGTTTAAATCGCTATATTTTGATATAATACGCTATTATATTGTTTTTATTTTTTTCTGGAAGTTCATTTAAGCTTCTTTTTAATTGCTCTTTTTTTATTTTCTCTTTAAAAAAAAGAAAAACTCGTTGATGTAAATCCGGTTTCATTAATATTCCTAGTTTATCTTTCCTTTTTTAAATTCATTTTTGCGTGTAATCTATAGTAATAATATAGTAATAATTTAAATAATCTTTTTTGCGGAAAAAATCGAAAATTATTTATTAATCAAAAATTATTTATCAAAAATTTTTTCGTTAAACATTTAAAAAAAAAAAATTAAAATTACGAAGAATAATTATTAGTTCAAAAATTTTATTCATTAACCAATTCCTAAATTTTAGATTTTTATAGATTTAGATAGATTTATAGATTTTTAAATAGATTTTTAAAAAATAGTTCATTTTGAGATCGAATGAATTCTTTTAATAATTTATTTATGTAAAATCGTTCTAAGCGCTATAATGGATAGCGTTAAAAGCGACGAGAAGCAATTACTGGAGATTTGGACTAATATAGATTTAAAAGAGATTCTGAACACATTGGCCGGCTAGCGATATGGTCTTGGATGGTGGAAAAAGAAACGATTCTTATTAATTACGCTTTAATTTGGCAACAGATCGAGTGGCTTAGAAACGCCTTACTCGTCCAGTTAATGGAACCAATTAAACCACTAAGAACTCATTGAAGGAGAATTAAAAAGAATCATAAATGAATGTTAAATAATTTTTATAATTATCGAATTTTCTCTTGATTCTATTTAATAAATTTTCTTGCATAAAAAATATTCATTGTAAAAAATTTTTAAAAAAATTAATATTAAGTAATTTCAAATTTTTTAAAAATAACTTTCATATTTTTTCCAATTTTTATAATTTTTCATTCATTTATATTCATAAACTTTAAACTTTAAAAATATCAAAAAATCAATTTTTTGTGTATTTTTATCATTTATATAATTGTAATTTGATGCAGTTTTCTTTATTCACTATGTAAATAAATAATATAAAAAAGAAAAATAAATATTTACGGTTATTTAAGATTTAGATACTATTTTTATTAAGATCGATCGCTTATTACATTAAGAAATTAATCGAAGTGACTAGCATTTCATCTATACTTTTTTTTGTCTCCAAATTATCATTATTTTTAATCAGTTGATATAGGAAAACAGTTGAACATAATTAAGTATCATTTTCATGATATTTCTTTTGAAAACGAATACAATAATATTATCGTGCTATCATGATCTTGTTTTCATGAAATAAAAAATTTATTTTCTATCATTTCTTTTGGACTAAAAAGCAACATTAAACTTCTTTCGATTATAAAATTTTTAATAAAAAAACATTTTAATAAATTTCTTTTGTTTATTTTAGTAATATTAATATTAATTTTAGTTTTTTGTTTCTAAAGTAAAAAATAAAAGCTTTAAAGCAATATTTCAACTAATAAAAAAATATCTAATTAATATTAACCAATTAATATTGATTAATTAATATTAATATTGATAAGATAATTTCTTTCTTTTGAAATGGAATTGTGAAATATTATTTCAAATAAAATTTGAAAATCCAAGAAAACTATTATTTTAACCATTATTATTTTGTTATAACTATTATTATTATTATTTTAAGAAAATTCTAAAAATCTCAAAAAAAAGTTCTTTCACGATAAAATTCGTTTTATTGTAATTACCGCTGTAATATTTGAATTTCGTCTAATCTCCAATAATTATTAATGAAAAATATTGGTTTTTTATTTTTGGTTTGTTTTTTAATCATTTAATTAATAGAACAATAGACTTCTCGCATTAAGTACGTATTTAACCAACGTTTTTAATATTATAAAACAAATTGTTTATTTCATCTATAAAAAATAAATAATCCATTTTTCTCATTTCCACATAATCGTATCAGTGAAAATTTTTAAATTTTTAGAATTTTTTCGATTACTGAATATTTTTAACAAAAATCCATTATATAAATTTTTTAAATATTTTAAATTTTTTTCAAATTCCGAAAATTCCGAAAATTTTCGAAAATTTCTATAAAATGAATTGAGACAGTAACTTTAGAATCCAGTAAAAAAAAAAAAAGAAATGAAAGGCAGAAATGTTAATATACGAAGAATTAATAAAAGTTGAAAAAAATGATCTGTAATGAGCGCAAATTCCTACTCATATGGATGCAAAAAATTGAAGTGATTCTTATCGCACACTTTTATTTCATCCTCAAATTATTATTTTTGCTTCGTTTTTTATTTGAGACAATTAAGTTTGTTCGTTTTATTACAATTCTAATGATTAAGATTAATTAGATAAAAAAATTTCCATTTTCTAATTTTTTTTGTATTCTCAATTTTATCAATTATTTTATTATCAACTTCGTTATCAATTACTAATTATCATTATTAAAAATTTTTGAAATTAATAACTTAACTGACAGCTAAAGCTAATATATTATTTTTTATCTTTATCATTTGAATTCAATTTTTTATTTTTCGATAAAATTTTAGTATTCACTTTATGATTTTTATCAATTGAATTAAATTACGTTTAACTCATCATTAATTAGTAATTATCCAAACTCATTCCATTCAAATTCCTCTTCATCATTATCATCTAATAGTGCTTAACATTTCTAGTTTGGCTTCCTTCATTAATTATAAGGAGTAATAATCGCTTATTATAAGAAATGAGGTGCATTTGTTAAAGCAGCTCTTGGAAATACTGATTTTAATTGAAACGATTAAGCAAATTTTGGTTGTTAATAAAAAAATAGATCATGTCCAAAAAGTTGATAAGTTGATAACAGTAGATCATGCATTAAAACTAAACAAAAACGATAGATAAATGCATGAAAACTTAATAAAAGCGGTGATTGAAGAATGATAGTATTCATTCGACCATCTTAATTAACCATATCACTTCAACTTGGACTTCTACTTGAACATACTTATTTCTGCAATTTTTCACTTTTCCGCTACATTTAACCGAACATTTCCTCTTTGTTGCTCATATCTTTGCTCAGAAACACGCAAACACGTATTATAAAATATTTATTTGTTAAGGAGAATATTTGTTGTCAGGAACTGGTGCTATAGTTACTCTTATTGATGTTAAAGCAATTGCAAGATCAATATATTCCTCAAAATATTTAGTGGTTATGTTGGAATAAATATATATTTCATCTATTTTAATATTTATAATATTTCGATAATTTCTTATTTATTACTTATTAGTTAAAAAAATAAAAATAATTAATGATTGTGATAGGTAATAAAATTGGAAAATTTCACTATGATTATCGAATTTTAATTTGATAATTTACCTACTTATTGCGGATTATTTTCAATTTTTAATTATCGCCTTATTAATTTTATAAATTTATGATTTATGATGTTTGAATTAACTTATAATAATGATGAATAGCAGCCAATCATTCAGTCATTTATTATTTATTTATCAATTTCAAAATCTTTAGAGTTACTGCTTTCTTCATTCAAATATGATTCATGAAACACATATCTATAGCCGACGTTATGGTATTCTTGCTATGTTCATATTTTTATCAGCATCAAATGCAATGCAATGGATAGAATATTCTATAATCGCTAATATTATTGCTTTATTCTATTCAATTAGTTATATGATGGTTGATTGGACCTCAATGGTTTATATGGTCTCATACATGTTATTTATTCTACCAGCGAGGTGAATTTCTCTTCTTTTCTTTTTTTTATTAATGATAATAATTGATTTTAGTTTTATTTTATAGAAAAAAAAAAAACTTATCATGAAGTACAATGAATCTATATGATAACGAAAGTAGACATAATAATTTATTATTATTATTATTATTGCAAATAAATAATTGATACATTTTTAGATAGGAATTAGATTTGATATTATTTTATGAGGGAAAAAAAAACTAATTCAAAAGAACCAGTTAATAATTTTTACTGAACAATTACTAATAATAAATTATAGTTAAAACTTTTTATTTTTCAAAATTCATTTTAAGTTCATTTTGTTCAACTTTAAATAAAAAATAAAATAATAATATATAAAATATAAAATAATGTATTTAATTATAAAAGCGAGAAAAATTTATTATCAAATTTATCATTTAAAAATAAGATTTGTCGTATAAAATAGAGAATTCATCAGGACTTATTTAAATATTTAAATATACTTATTTAAATATACTTATACTTAATATACTTAGCTAAATTTAATTGGCCAATTAGCCAAAAGAAGACTGCATCATCGTTGAATTCGAGAAAGTATATGAGGAATTGTGGCAAGAAGGGGCGACGAAAAATTATGATAAAATCTAGAAAATGATTACCGAATATTTTAGCTGGATTTTGGATAAATATGGATTACGAGTATCAGTGCTTTTAGGCGCTGGTGGGAATTGCTTAGGATCATGGCTTAAAGTCTTATCAGCTCAACCAGGTGAGCTTTTATCAGATATCGTAGTAGTAGAACATGACTGAATAAAATAATTTTGCGCTAATTCAGATTTATTTTGGCTGTCATTTCTCGGACAAACAATAGTCGGATCTTCTCAAGTATTCATTTTGGGCATTCCACCTCGACTTGCGGCTGTCTGGTTTGGTTCCAAGGAAATTTCGACAGCTTGTGCAGCGGGTGTTTTCGGCAATCAGGTTTGATCATTTTATCCAATTTGAACATTTTTCTTTATACATTTCTATATACAGTTCTTATATGATAATTCGAATGTCTTATTGGATATTTAACGAAAATTATCAATTTTTCAATTTCTAAAAAATTCCCAAAAATAATTCCAATGAAGAATGCGTTATTTTACAGTTCGGTATTGCGATTGGCTTTTTATTACCTCCACTTGTTGTTCATATGGGAACTGTCGAAAGTATGGCCACCGAACTCAAAACTCTCTTCATGATTTCAGCAATTATTAATTCCATCGTCTTTTTATTGATTATATTTTGTAAGTTCGTTTAATTTAATTTTTTTTTCCATTTTATTAAATATTTTTTTAGAAATTATTTAATAATTATTATAAAATTTCTATAAAATTCTTATAAAAATTGTTGAATAATATGGTACTTTATAGTTTTTTCAAAAAAACCACCTCTTCCGCCAAGTATTGCGCATCTTCAATCAATTGAAAATACGCGTGATTATTTAATAACTTTAAAGGAAGTTATCGTAAATCCTAGTTATTTGCTTCTATTAATCAGCTACGGTACGTTATTATTAAATTATTTTATAAATAATGTAAATATAATAAATAAGGAATTTTATTTTAATAAATAAGAAATTATTTAATTATTTAATAAATAAGAATTTTATTTAAATAAATAAGAAATCTATTAAATTTTATTATTTAATAGATTTTATAAGTTAATTATTTCATGTCATTTGTTTTCAATGTTTATGTCCTTATTATAATTTTATCAGTTTTTTATTTCAACTTATAATAGTTGATATCGAGTTGGGTTTCATTGAGTTGCAACGTAATTACTTTTGGCAAAAAATGATTTTTTTTTTGGCTTTCTGGCTTTTTTTGGCTAAAATATTTGCCTAATCGTCAAATATTTAGTATTTAGGGTTAAATACTGGTGTATTTTATGCAATTTCTACATTGCTTAATCAAATTATTTTATATTACCATCCGAATGAACAAAAACTCAGCGGTAAAATTTTCAAATTTTTCAAAATCAAATTTTTTTCATATTTTTCATATTTGATAATTGAGATTTTTTGATTTTTTCAAACTTATGTTGATGCTATCTAAAGATTTGAAAAAATTATGGCAAAAAGATCGGAAATTTTTGAAAAAATTTGAAATTTTAGAAATGAAATACTGGGCTTTTCAAATTATGGTCAGGAGTATCTTTCCATTTTGATTTTAATTTAAAATATAATTGAAAATTTTAAGAGTATAAGCATTTTTTTTTTTACTGCCTATTGTGATAAAAATTAAAATTTATCTAAATTACGAATTGGTGTCGAAAGCGAAGTACCATGTACTTATATTTCAATATTATTAGAATATTATTTAAATATTATTTTCTCAGGAACTATTGGCCTAATCCTAGTTGTTTCTGGGATGGTTGGTTCCGTTCTTTGTGGAATATTTCTTGACCGATTTCATCGTTACAAGTATGTGATTATAAAATTATTTTATTATTATTTTTTATTTATCATAATAGAAAAATTATAAAAATATAGATAAAGTATGGCCAAGATGGAAGATATAAATAAGAAAATTGTGCAAATTAATGAAAAAGTAACATAATCTTAATATTTATATGCCACAAGTGATAATAAACAAATTAACCAAAATAGGTGAAAATAAAATTCGATTTTTTTTTTTTTTTTTAGATAATTTTTATCTTTCAAATTAAATTTGTTGAAATGGCAATTAAATGAATAATTTATTAAAATTTTGGATTAAAAAAGCAATTAATATTAGCCAATTTGCTCATTTAATGCAAAAATAATTTCTATTTTTATTTTATAATTTCATTTTTTGTTGAAAAAAATTTACCAGAAAATTTACCAGAAAAATTTTGTTGAAAAAAATTTGAAAAATTGAAAATTTTTAATATTCGTGCAAAAAAGCAATTGCGTTAGTTGGATGGCGTAATAAACAAAATTTTTTTAAATATATATGAAAATAATGATTCATATAGATTTCCAGGGCTATATAAAATTCCTAGCATGGGTTAAAGCGGAAGCATTTCATGTATTTTATTTAATGGGTTCATGGATCCGTGGAATTCATCGATCCTAGGTTAAGAACGACCGTTCTAGATGCTAAATTCATTATATGCATGCTCATTGGTTTTTTCAGGATGACTACTTTGGCAGTCTATTTCTTCAGCACGATTGGAATGATCCTTTTTACTGTCCTCATAAGCCTTCCTCAGACATGGGCTATTTATATAGTCGCTGCTATTTTAGGGTATAAAATCATCTTTTTTTTTTGTTTATCTCAGGTTATAACACGACGTATTTTTTTTTTTCATTTTTCATTGCAATGGGTAAAATATTAGATTAGTGCAGTAAAATTTTTTTACAGATTTTTTATGACTGGTTATCTTCCGATTGGTTTTGAATTCGCTGCTGAACTTACATATCCTATTCCGGAAGGTACCACTTCTGGTTTGCTCAATGCTTCTGCTCAGGTCTAAATATTTCCTTCTTTTCTCATTATTATTTTTCGTTTTTTTTTTATTTCCTAATTTATAATTATTTTAAGGCATTTGGAGTGTTAATGACGCTAGCGATGGGTCAAGTAATCCATAAAACGAGTATTTTTTTATGTAATATAATTTTGTCGAGTATTTTGGTCATTGGAATTATACTTACTGGTTAGTTTTTCGATAAATCCTAACTAAAGTATAATTATATATTGCGATTATTTATCAGCTATAACTGAATAATTTTCAAATTTTCAAATATCTTTAATATCTTTTTTAAATTTTATTTTGAAATTATATTAAGATATATGCCATATAATGGCTTCTTATCGCTTATCATTCTTTTTCTCGTTTATAGGTTTTTTTTTTCATATTTCAGCTTTTATTAAAGCGGATTTGAGACGGCAAAAAGCCCATCGATGTATACAGTATATTTCAACCGACATTACTCAATAGTTGAGTTATATAATATTCCCTTTTTCCATGCAATTATTGCTTGATCACCTCTTTTTGGTTGGAAAAAATGCAGTTAAATCATGTATGCTTATTGCTAACATATCATTTAATAATAATTTCAAGCAATCATCTGTGCATTTATCTAAATTTTTTTAAATTTTTAAAAGAAATATTAGCTTGAAATTATTTTTCTTTATTCGGCTCAATTTGTCTTTATCAGAATATGATAAATGTCAGTATTAATAAATTCTTGGTGATAAAACTAATTTTTTCAACGTTTTTTTATTTGTCATTATCATTTATCAAAAATTTATTCAGCACTAACAATTATTGCGAAAAAAAAATTTTAAAATATTTTCTGATTTATAATTGTTACTAATCAATATAATTTATAATTTGCATTTCATCGAAGGAGAAAATGTACGCATTATTCCAAAGCATAAAAAAATTCTCAACTCTATTGTATTTTCCTGAAACAATGTCTCCAACTGGAACAGTTGGTAGATATCAACAAAACATAAAAAATATTTTCGAGCCTCATGTGTTGTAAATTGAAAATTGAAATTGTTGTGAACAAAAAAGAGGATTAGAAGGCTTAAAGTAGGCGAAAATTCATTTCCACAAAACACTTCTACTTCAGCCCTTTCCACTGGCTTATTGAACCAGCAAATATTACCAGGCAATGAAAATACAAGTGAACCACTAACATCACTTGAATTTTTGAAAGATATAAGTTCGAAGAGGTAAATCTAGGTTTAATAAAAAGTAAATATAAAGTGAATATAAAAGCACAAAATTATTTTAATTCGATTTTTTTTACTATCAGAATCTATAAATTTCTGGATTCGTTCATGGATTCCTTGCATCATCGCATCAAATGAATGAATGAATGATAATAATGATAAAAGAAAAAAATTAGAAAATTAGATTAATCTTTGTGATAATAATTCATGTGTACAATTGCAGATATTTCAAAATCGGCCAAAAGTGAAGGTGATTTTTTCGAAAAAGAAAAAAAAAGGGTTGACCTATTATTTTCATAATTTTCATGGTCAATGGCATCTGAAACGACGAAGCCGTACGGAAGAAGGTCACAATCGATTCATATTTCTAAACAATGCGTTTGGCATTTCGTCAATCTTTTCCATATCTCCTAAATTTTATTTTATATATTACAATATTTTATATAGGTATTTTTTTAAATTAATTTTATTATTGAATATTTTTAATATTAAATATTTTAGTTAGAAAATCTGAAAAAAATGAAGAACGATATTAATTGGTTAAGAAAAAATTGAGAGAAAAACAAAAATTCTTTTGTCTATTCGAATAGTTGGCAATATTACTGGTTAGGTTGGTTCCAATGATTACTAAGGCCAAGGCGTTTCTAAATCTAATGCTAAAATCCTAAGGATAGCACTCAAGTTTTATTTATAGATTAATTTAATATAGATTTATAACTGGTTGGATTTTTTTCCCATTTCATACCATTATTAGTTGTTTTTATGCGACAAAAAATAATTAAATTGAGGAAATTCTATAAAAGCTTGGCTATTATAAAATTTAAGAATTTCACTAATATAAATCATTTTCATGTTTATTGCATGCAATCGCATGCATGCATGTTTAATTTACCTATGAAATTGGTTTCGGGATTTTTTTGATCGATTTGAACAAAATCAATATTCCACTGATTCGTTGTTCCACTGATCTAAATTTGAGCTAAATGAACTATTAAACAATTCATTTTTATTTTTTTAGAGCAAATTTTTTTTTTTTTGCCCAATTTTTCTATTTAATTTTTTTTTCCTTTAGATTTTTCATGCATTAAAAATTTTAATTAAATTTTTTAAAATTTCATCATAAAAAAAATTAACAATTACAAGGACATAGCAATGGAACGAATCAAATCATAGACGGTGATATTTCGGTAGCAAATGAACTAGGAAAAAGAAAAAGACCAGAAGATAATATACCAGTAATTGAAATCAGAGGTGAAGGAAAACCCATGACTGCTGCACAAATTCGACAACTGGAAGAGGTTTCGAATGGAGGACCACTTGACATTAAAGTTTATCATTTACGTTAAAATTTCAAGAAAAATAAGAAATTTCAAGAAATTTGTCATTAAAAAATCTGTCAAAAAAATGATGCTAGCAATACATATTTAATTCTCTTTCAAGCGATCCCATAGTTCAAAATTTTTAACAACCAAGCTAACAGCGAGTAGAACCAGTCTTAACACAAATAATGGTCGTTTATTTTATACTTAATTTTAAATATATGTAGCGAAAATTTAAATTTTCCCCATGAGCAATTGTCCTATTATAATATTTATAATTTTTTATATTATAATGGTACTACCTGGTTTTTTCTAATACATTTGAAATGGCAGTTGCGAGGAAACAATAATGAAAAAGGGATTATTTATAAGGAAATTATATTAAAATATATACGTAGATAAGAATTTATATATTTACAAAATCTATTCTTTTCTTAGGTGGAAAAGACTTGGCGTCCACTTGGATGTCCTCGGGCTGCAAAGCGGAAAGACTTCATAACTTTTCATTATAAAGCGTTTACCGAATCGGGAAAGAAATGCGATCAGAGTTATGGTCGACAACCTATTCGTCTACAGCTTGGTGTGGGAATGGTACTACCTGGATTAGACAAAGGAATGAGAGGAATGTGTAATACAGAATTGAGAAAAATTCAAGTTCCATATAGATTAAGCAGGAAACGAAAAAGCAGAGGCAAATAATTACTTATATGCTTTTCAAATTTATTTTCCAAAATTTTTAAACAAGGAATTATAAAAAAAATTTTTTATAGTATGGAAAAATATTCCAAACGATGAACATTGGCTAACATTTAATATCGAAATGCTAAATGTTGAAGAATGGTCAATGAATTTACAATTCCAGTTTATGGATTTGAATAATGACAGTAAAATTACAGAGGATGAAGTAAGTGGTGGATTTATATATGCATATAAGATTCTATTATTTCATAAATTTGAGCGAGATTTTAAATTTTTTTTATAAATTAGGCCCGAGACTAAAATTAAGAAGACGAGAAATCAAATGCTATTCTATTTTTTTCCTAATTTTTCAAAATATGTGAGAATTTTTCAATTGTTAATTAATAAGGTTGTTATTGATTATTAATTATAATTGGCTAGATGTTGGTATTCTAATGTGGACCTTAGCCTAAGAATTTTCTGAATTTCCGAAAGCTGGAAATATGAATTGATGGCGCTTGGTTATAGCCCTGGGCGACAAAATAATGCTGCATCTGCTTTTTGCTCTCCCTTTCGCTAATATTTTTTCTTTCCTCTTTATTTTTTTTCACTATTAGAACCGTTGATAGAATATTCAGACTTATCACCTTCAATATCCATAAAATCATTCTTTTATCTGTTTTGAATCCGATACTTCATTGGAGTACTGATAAAATAAAATAATTTAAAGAGGTAGTACAGTTGGTTAACATATAGCGAAATTTGGTAGTATCTTAAAAAAATGAAGGAACTTGTGGATTGCAGTTTTTTAACAGAATATGATAAGCATATTCGGAGGAACATCAAAGGGTTTTCACTAATTAAAGGCGATATTTTTCGATTTTAAACTGGAGTCTTTTTTTCTGGATTGCATGCACATATTAACTTTATCTAATTTTTAATATTTGCTACTTTAACTGTTGTTATTAATAGAAGCACATGGTGTTGTCATCCTGCTTGGCTGGTTTTCAATAAAATAAAAAAATAATTATCGTATAGATGATTAGCTTATCAATCACAAGGAAAAAATATTGAGCAAAAATATTAAAAGTAAAAGTAATTATTGAAATCCCCACTTTCAGTTAGTTAATTTCCAAGAAAAAATAAAGAAAGATTTCGGAAAGACATGGAGTAACAATGATATCGATCAAGTTATCGCTGCAAGATATTATATAAGGTAGAAATCATTATAATTTTTTTTATAATTAGTATAAATTTTTTTCTGTGGCATCTCTATGGTACTTATCATTTTCGATTAGGTTTGCTTGATTGTCTATGAAAATAGGATGATTATATACGATGAATATTACGATGAGACGTCTTAGCCAGTTCAGTACTGACTTTTTAATGGCACTTATGACCTAAACTATAATACTTGAGATGATAAACCATAACCATATTTTACATCCAAGGTCAAATTACAATCACGTATTATATTTATTCATTCATAAAATGTTGTTAATCAATTTTGTAAATTAATCAGTAACCAGTAGTTTAACCAATATTCCTTGAAATTTCCATTGAATAATTCGTAAATATATAAAAATTTATTGAAAAGTAAACATAAGCGATCTTTGGTAAAATTTAAAATTTCAAATATTTTTTTCATTAAAAATTTTGTAAATTCTAAAAATTCTTAAAAATTCTTTTTTTAATATTTTAAAGATATTTCGATATAAATGGTGATTATAAAGTTGATTTGGAAGAATATAGTCGAGTTATGCAAAGAGATATGTCAACAATGGAAGCAAAGGCTAAAAATATAAAACCGGAGGGTAGAAAAAGAGATCCATCAATTGCTTGGATTCTAGATTTTAATAATGATGGCATTGTATCCGTTGAGGTTGGCATTTAACTATGATTTATTCGATTTTTTATCTTTTTTATTCTTTTCATAATAATTAAAAATATTTTTATAGGAAAATGATGAAGCAGCAGAAATTTTGGAAAATGGTCCAAGCATATTACCGATATTTTCCAAAGATGAATTATAAATGATTTAGAAAAAAAAACCTAAAAGTTCATTTATAGCTGTTCATTTGTCACCAAATTTTGTCATTATTTATTTATTGTTAATAATTTTTTTTATTCCTCTTCTAAAAGTTTTTTTTTTTTAAAGAATAAATAAATAAATTATTAATTTATTTCATTTATCTCAATTATTAATTTCGTTCATTAAATTGTGATTTTATTCATGATTCTCTAACAAAAATTTCTCGCCTTAGTTGCTTGGCAAATAGAAAAGAGCGGCGAAAACCTAAAAACCAAAAATTGCAGTCGCTTATCACTTAATTATAGGTGATTTAAAAGAAAATATGCTGAAATTATCATTTTTTTTCTTCTTTTTTTAAAATAGATTCGATTAAAATCAAATACATTTTATATAAAAATATTTTAAATTATTATTTATTATAAATAAATGGAGAAAAAAACAATTTTTAAAATATTATCGCGGATTTTTCAATAAAACATTTTTTATAACAAATTTTTACAGCGTTGTATGGTTGAATCGTCAACGTCGTCGTCCTCATTCGTTGTTAAACTCTTTCCCAAATCCCTAAAAAAAGAATAAAAAATCAAACTTCGTGATCGTTTTTACTAGGAAATAATAGAGAAAAAAAAAGTAAAACATTAGTTTTTATTCGATTGATTCATTTAAAACACCTCCACCTCTTTATATTTTTTTTTAATTCTGGGTTATTTGCCATTTTCAGAATTATTATTATTTTCTTAGTCGAGCAAAAAAAAAAATTTTTTTCTTTTTGTATTATAATTTGCGCTTGAAAAATCCAAAATCTTCTTTTTCTGGATTTCCTGGATTTGTACTTTAGCGTTCATCAACCACAATTAAGAATTAGTTATCACCATTAACAACTATTATTTAGCGTGATGCTGGTGATATCCACTGGTACTTCTATCGTCAAATGACTCGAAGCCTACTAAAAGGTGATAAGACTAGCCTAATCTAACTTTTTTATTTTTATTTTATTTTTCATAAGGTTTCATAAATCATCCTTATTCATATCGGTAATTCATATCCGAAATGGCAATTATTTGTTTCCTATATAGTGGCTAATAGCGTCATTCATACTTCTTGTTACCGATGTCCATTTTATTCCTACAGAATCGAAGTAAAAATAGTTCTCTGGCTCTGCACTGTAATAATTTGCACCAGCACCGCGATACTTCTCACTAGAATCGCCTTAATTTTTAGTGTATCTTTTTAACAGATTTAGAAAAGACTTCATTTATAATAAGCATAATTTATTTATTGTCACCATTAGAGATAAAAATTTAACGGAATTCATCAAATAAAAAAATATTTTAAAAAAAGAAAAGAACAATGATCGAATGCTTTTTAGTCATATTTCGCTATTTATTATCGCAGCTATTTTTTAAAGTAATACATTGGGCGAATACATTGATCCAAGTTTTTTTTGGTTTTTTTAATAATAAAAAATATGAAAATACTTTAATAAAAATATTTTAAACTTTAACATTAAATTATTTCTCAATTTTCTTTCAATTACAAATTTAAATTCTTTTCAAATTCGACAAAATATTGACTTTTGTATTGTTGGATTTTTTTTGATCTTTTTTTTCTAAAAACGCTCGTCATTTATGGTTAAACTTGTTCCATCGATCCTCTAATTTGCATCAGGCAAATTTTATCAGTGAATCAGTGAATTGGTGATAGAAGTACATGTCAGTCGGGAATATTAGTAGGATTTTTGGAGGATTTGTTCCTATACGGTAATCAGATAGGATAAAATGGCTTAGTGGGTTGTTTGTCAATTTGAAGCGCTTCTATTCTATTCCTCAAGAGTAAACCTGTCCAAAAAACCAGATGATCCTGATGATTCACCTGTACTTCTGTCTCTGGTATATTGCCCAATGCGACAAACCAGTAGAGCAAGTTTAACTAATAATGGTGAGGATTCTTAAAACAAATACGGTAACCTCAATATGCTCTGATATGAGAACAACACCTTCAATATATATTGACGTTCAATATACATATATGCTAAAGTAGCCTCAGTGGTGATAGGAGCATCAGGGCGTATAACTATAGAAATGTGGGTTTGCCTAGAACAACACACTACTACTAGAAATAGCTAAGATAATGTGCAGAGCCCTCAAGTTCTCAGACCTTTAGTATCCGAGGATGATCCATGTCACCCACATGAGGTGATAAAGATTTTTTAAAATATATGTGCTTCTATTTAAACGATAAACTTCTACCCTCTTTATCAGTAGCGTTCCAGCTCGACAAATAGCATCAATGATCGTGCAATCAATAGAAAGGCAAATATTGGAGACCATACATGCTGATGATTTTATCGAACCATAACTGCTTCAATCGATCATCCTGACTTATTTCTTTTTTAATTTTATGAAATTTTTTTTTAATATGTTGATTTATCAGATTTTTAGCTTTCTTATCTTTTTAATTTTCTAACCATCCATTGAAGAGATTAAATTTTTCCGAATTTTTTATTATATAGAAATAAACTATCAAACAGATAAACTAAAAATGATCGGATTATAGAACTACAAATTAACATTCATCATTTTCCTTTTCAAAATCATGAATCTTCTGCCGGAGGCTATAAGCTTCATTTTTTATTTCTTACCGATGGTAAATGAAGTATAAATGATTCAAATGCCTATATAAATAATTAGAGCATGAAGAGCTTGTCGAATTTTTATTGCTTAGATCGTCTATTGTTTCCTTCATTTTTCCTTCTCCTTATATTTCCTTTCCCTAATAGAAATACCGATTTTTTTTTTACAATACAATTGCAATTTGGAGCAAAAGAAATTTTTTTCAGAAATATGTGGTCACTATTCTTTTTAATATATCTCGCAGTATGTTTTGCGGCGGATCCAATTTCTATAGATTCAACATTAACAACATCGGCTGCGAATACATCAGAATCAACGAAAAATGATTCTAGCACAGCACCTGAAATTTTAACTAGCACAGTATTGCCTTCTTCTTCCAGCACTACAACTTCCACAACCACTGGAGAGAATATTACGATGACTATTCCAGAAAACATGACCACAACAGTGGCGCCACCTCCTTCAAAATTAAGAACTGGCCAATTTTTCGGTTGGTTTCTGGCATTAGTATTGGCAAATAATTGATTCATTTACTTGATACAAGTGCTTGAATATTAGTAAATTTAAGCAGCATAACTTAAAATAATAATAGATCGCAAATAAATAAAGTGTTGATGCTATATAAAAATTATTATTAAAAATTATTATTATTATAATTATTAAAAATTAAATTATTATGTAAAAATTATTATTCTTCTTTTTTCCTTGCACTTTTATTAGTTGGATTGACTAAAGTAAATCCTTTCCAAGCTTCTTGATCGGAGGCCATGTTTCTTCTCTGACAACTTTAGTCCAAGGTCTTGATTGGCCTTCCTGGCTTTTAGCGCCATCCAACGTTTAGCAAAAAGTGAAATATGCATTAATTTTTCTAATTTCTACGCCTAGCCATATTTTATGCAATTTTATAAAAAATATTACTAGCTTATAATTTATATCGTAAAAATAATATTATTGACCATAATAATATATTAACTGGCATATTCTTAATAATATTCAGATAATAATATTAGGACAAGAGATAATTTTAGTTTTTATCATTTATTATATATGATAAGTCCAATCATACCAATTTTTGAAATTATTTCAGGAGGTATCATTCTTGGTATGATTCTCATGGTTTTCTTAACTGTTGTTTATAAATGTTGGCAATTGAGGCGTTCTACTACTGGTTATGAGGATTATTAAAATTTGGTAATATTTTCTTACGAAAAAAAAAAAAATTAAAAAATCTTGATTCGGTTTTATGATCATTCAAGTGTATAAGCAAATCTAATAAACATATATTAAATAAGAACCTTAAGATTTTTTTGATATTAATAAGATGATAATCATTATCAAAGTATTTTTGAAAATCCTCTGGCAAGTAACTGGCAAACTTCAAATTATTATTTTGCTGTGATTTTTAACTCTTATCAGTTCTCGAGGCCTATTACTCAAAGTTAGCCAAGTCCATAGTGCACCTAGAATGGTCGTCATGTGTGTAAGATGTTAGCCATTGCACTATATAAAATGTAAAACAATTATTTTTAAGGTATTTTGTTTCCAATTAATCCGTTCCGTTCCTGTTATTCTCAATTTATAAATTATTATCTTTAATTTGATTAAATTAAATTTAATTATTAATTCTTCTTTCATTCTATTTTTGCACTTTTTTTGTTCTAATTTTTTATGATTATTAAAAAATTTTTGAAAAATACGATTTGATTTTTACGTATCATATAAATCATATTTAAAAGATATTTTTCCTTGTATAAGACAAGAAGCAAAATCATTTTGCCAAAATATAATGAAAATTTGCTATATTAGTGCAAATTTGTAAGGGCTTATATTGGAGAAAAAAAACGAGATCATAGCCTCGGGCTGCAAAATTTCGATTCCATTCCAAAAGTGCTCTCGCATTATCAGCTAATTATGTTTTTTTGTAATGATTTTTTGATGATCGATTTTTGCCATTTTTATTCCATCGGACTCATTTGTTCTCATCAATACCGCTCAATTTTATTATCCTATTGCCGCAAAGTAAAGTTTAAATTTTGCCAAAGTGGTATTTGTAAATTAAAAATTCATAAAAGCGTAAAAAATCATATAACAGTAATATGATTGGAGAAATTATTATAATATAAAAGAGATGGATAAGAGAGGATATTTTTCAGGAAATCCTTTTACCATCAAATCGGCTGGTTAATTGCAATTTTATCTCTTATGATGCTGAAAATTTGAATCATGCACGCCACAAATTATCATGCTATGCATTATAAAAATATTCTCCTTCCTTGCATTGATAAAATTGTCGAATCATTCTTTTCTTCTTCTTTAACATTCCTTCAAATTTCTAATGGTCAGCAATTTTTTTGCTAACGATGAGTACCAACGCTGATAAATTCTATTAAATGCATCTCGCCTAAAGTTTTTGTTAAGCTGAAGAACGGTGATGTAAATTCGAAGTGAACGACTTACTTATAATATTTATAAGCCCTTATAATTCAATTCGCCAGAAAAATTTTTTTGCTTAGAGTTATAAAAATTTCATTTAAAAAAAAATTTTCTTGTATTTCTTATATTCGACTTCTATTTTCAGCTCATTTTAAAAACCCATATAAATATTTTGGGAAAAAAGAAAAAAATTTTTTTTTCCTTTCATAATTCTAATTGAATAGATAAAGCTATAAAGCACAACTGATAAGCTTTTATAAAGATCAGTAAATATAATAAAAAATTACGAGAATTTTTTTCAAAAATTTGCTGTTTTCTCAAAAATTTCGCTTTTCTGTTTTTTAATCGCTTTCTTTATCATTCATTTACATAATTCATAATACTAAAGATAAGCGACTAATAAGATAAGCGAAATATTATAAGAAATATTGCAAATACTGAAGAATTGCAATCGCAAAACACTTATTGTATTTCTAAAATATCTCAATTTCCTAATATTTTTATATTTTTTTATATTCACCGAATTAAGAATCCATAGAAATCATCAAAACGAATTCTTCAAGGAATCCAGAAAAAGGTGATTTTTTAAATTAATTTAATAAAACTCAATTAATTAATCGATTAATGACAAGGTTTGGCTTTAGAGACACCTTAAGGGAAAGAGGATGAACGTTTTGAATTTAGGTAATTTAGTAGTTTCGTTAAATTTTTAACCAAAAATTTTTTAGAGATATATATGCATCTGTTTTATATAGTATATAGTATGGGCAGTTTTAAGAGTACAACAGCAGCAACAGTTCATATTTAAAATTTTAGGTAAAAAATGTGATTTATATGAAAGAGCTACGAATTTTAATGGTTGAAATATAAAATATAGCCTTTACCACTTCCGGAAAGCAAAATATATTAGTTATATTGGTGCTGAAGATCCACCTATACGAAATACTCGTTAGACTCGTTCCCAGTGATGCTGGCGACTCATCTATTCGCTAACAAATTCTCCGGCATATTAGTGCGACAAGAGAGCGGAACGAGTCTAATGAGTTATGGTGAGTGCTTTTATAAAAAAAAAAAACCAGCAATAATATTCAAATTTTCAATACTTTAAGATCAAACTTAGTTCAAAACACTCCCACCTTATTACTTCTTTTCGAGAACTTTTATTGAGTACCATTTCTCTAATCACTTTCATTTAATCACTTCCAGCTTGATTAGTTAATTCGCACTGTTATTCTTAATAATTTCAAATTTTTAATCATAAATAAGTGCAGTAGTCCTTTTATTTCTTCTTCTTCTTCTAACAGCTCTCACCATTACTGGTTAGGCTGGCTCTAACGGCTACAAGGGTAAGACGCTTCCAAGCGGTGCGGTCTGATGCCATCGTCGACAGTAATGGAAGCCATTCCTTTTTCCATCATCTAAGTCCATATATTGCTGGTCCACCTATACGTTCAAAATCTTTTCTCACCGTATCAATCCAGGTCTTGATTGGCCCACCTCGCTTTTGACGCCAACCGTTACACGGTTTAGCAAATAACGAAATATGCGTCAACTCGTGTGGTGGACGACGGAGAATGTGCCCTAACCAGCGAAGGCGGCGTTCAATGATAATATTATTTATGCAAGTGGTATTTGAACGAAGATGGATGCGATGTAGTGAGATTTTATCCACTCGGCGAACCCATAATATGTACTTTAGACAAGAGTGGTCAAAGGCAGATAATTTCTTAATATCCTCCACTCTCATTGGCCATGTCTCAGAATCATATAATAAGATCGAACGGATCACGGCAATATAGATGCGGACTTTTGTTTTTATGGTGATTTCACGACGATTCCATAAAGGTTTCGTCAACCGGAAGAACGCATTTCTAGCTGCCGTGATCCGAGTTATAATATCATCTTTTGCCTGTCCATTTGGTATTAGAGTGGACCCAAGGTATTTCAGGCACTTCCTCAACCGGCAATGAATTTACAAAAAGAGACTTGTTATCAGCTTCTTGCACATAAGACGAAAAGGCTTTCGTTTTATTTACATTGATCCTGAGTCCGATTCTTGCTGCAGTTTCTGACACGTTATTTAGTATTACTTGCATTTCGTTATAACTGTCAGCAAAAAGGACTACATCATCAGCGTATTTAAGATCTGTGATACGATGCTCTGGACTAATTCGGACACCTCTTGAGTGCCGACAAGCAGTGTCCATTATCCAGTCTATCGCATAGTTGAATATTGTGGGGGAAAGGACGCAGCCCTGACGGACACCTGTTCTTATTTCGAAGGAATCTGTCAGCTCCCCATATACACAGACCTGCGCCGACGTGCGCTCATAAAATGCCTTTATAAGTCTAATGATTTTCTCTGGAACACCATCACGTTCCATCACCCTCCAAAGCTCCGCTCTATCAATTGAATCAAAGGCAGCCGTAAAATCGATGAAACACGTGACAGTGGGTTGCAAATATTTGAAGCGATGTTCCAATACCCTTCTTAACGTGAATATCTGGTCAGCACAACTGCGCCCTGGTCTGAATCTAGCTTGATTAGGGCGTATCCTGCTGTCTCATACTTCCATAAGTCTTTTGAGTAACAGGGAAGCAAAAATTTTTGCTGAGACGTCTAATAGGCTGATTCCTCGATAATAGTCGGAGTATGCCCTATCACCCTATCACCTTTCTTGAGAATGGGGGGCAGAATTGCTTTGCTCCAATCATCCGGTAATATTTCTTTTTCCCATACTAGAGAGTACATTTGTTGAAGGTGCGTTATGAAAGACAATGGACAGCATTTGAAAAGCTCAGCCCGAAAACCATCTTCTCCTGGAGTTTTGTTGGCCTTAAGCTTATGGATAACTGAGATTATCTGAGATTATTTCTTCTTCTGTTGGAGGCTCGCAATTGCAAACGTATGCTTCGGCAAACGTATCAGCTGTATCAGGGGCAACAGATGGCGCTTCATGGTTAAGTTTGGCCTCAAAGAATTCTTTCCATCTTATGAGGCGATCCTTAATACTTTTAATTAGAACGCCATTGCTGTCTCTTACCATTTCACTGATCGTTCCCCGAGTCATAGTTGCTTTATGAAGAAGGCAGAATAGTTTCCTATTGTCGCCCAATCGAGCCGCCGCCTCCATTCTTGAGGCCATGTCACTCCAATAGAGATTTNCCATCACCCTCCAAAGCTCCGCTCTATCAATTGAATCAAAGGCAGCCGTAAAATCGATGAAACACGTGACAGTGGGTTGCAAATATTTGAAGCGATGTTCCAATACCCTTCTTAACGTGAATATCTGGTCAGCACAACTGCGCCCTGGTCTGAATCTAGCTTGATTAGGGCGTATCCTGCTGTCTCATACTTCCATAAGTCTTTTGAGTAACAGGGAAGCNTCTAATAGGCTGATTCCTCGATAATAGTCGGAGTATGCCCTATCACCCTATCACCTTTCTTGAGAATGGGGGGCAGAATTGCTTTGCTCCAATCATCCGGTAATATTTCTTTTTCCCATACTAGAGAGTACATTTGTTGAAGGTGCGTTATGAAAGACAATGGACAGCATTTGAAAAGCTCAGCCCGAAAACCATCTTCTCCTGGAGTTTTGTTGGCCTTAAGCTTATGGATAACTGAGATTATCTGAGATTATTTCTTCTTCTGTTGGAGGCTCGCAATTGCAAACGTATGCTTCGGCAAACGTATCAGCTGTATCAGGGGCAGCAGATGGC